ATATCAGAGTCCTATAAGTTCCGCAGCCTTCGGATGTCGGTGTCTTGGCGTGGTCCGACTTTATTGATATTTCTTGAATCCCGATCGTGCGATTCGTTTATCCTTTCTTTGTCCCATTCTGTCATTCTCTCAGGCTTCCCGTACTTCTTAGTTTTCTTACATTCCATCCAGTGCATTGCGTCTCTCTATAAACAAAACACAACATGGCGCAACATTCGTTCATCTTTGGTAACCGTTTTATTCCAATTGGTCTCGTCAATTTTCTGCGCATAAAAGGCGAGAACTTGAGTTTTCTTACATTGCATATTGCATTGATCCACACCGTGCCCGTCGACTTGGCTTTTTTTTTAATGCGAGTTTTGCTTTCGAAGATTTTGTGACCCAGCCATGAGCCACGAATATTCTGCTAGCCAACGGTCGTGAAATATGTCAATTACCACTGAGGGTTAGCCACTCGGGCGGGATTCAAAAACCGGATACGTGAACGTCAAAAATACCAAATGCCGGGAGACGTGACGTGTTGGCGGCGTTCTGGTCTAGGTTTGCCGGGACCGTCGGGACTGTCTCATCATTAGACTTTTGAGAAGGTTCTTTTTCTGTTACTTTCCTTGTATTTATGGATTCTAAAGTTTTAATTAATATTTTGCATCTCCGGGACGAGCCTCGGCACGTGACTAAGTGGAACTCATAGACGAGCGTCTATTTACACGAGAATATAGTCCTCAAACGGATGACTGCAGCGCCACATGTTCGGCGTTGCACGTTGGTGAAACGCGTTTGAAAGATGTTGCATTTAACAATGTCCATTGGAGGCTGCCAATATCCGGCCACTTGGAAGAGTCAAAGTATATGAGAGCCAGTTGCCTCGAGCGCATAGGATGGCGACATCGGTGTAAGTTGCCGACGGTAAACAAAGATGTGACATATATACTCATGAACTAGAAAATTTCATGGTGGCAACTCCCCATTCCCCGGCAAAGACCCTGTCGCCAAGAAGGTGTATGTATGTCAACGACGGGGCAGTCCGCGAAGAGATGACGAGACCATGAGGCCACTTGGTTTGTCCATTGTATTTACCTTCCATTACCGTCATGGCCCCGACGTTTGTGCCTTCATTCTTGGCTGAAAGAAACGACGGAAACTACCTAAACAAGGCAACAAGCTCCGTTTTTTAACTTCCCGTTACGATAGAGCAGCTCCGGACGGACTAACCGTCGGAAGGTCATAGGAATTTCGGCCAAGCCGGGCTGTTTGGCTCTAAACCCAGCTTTTGTTTCACTTGTTCAATTGAACCCTCTTCCTCTACCAGCGGAGCACACACAATATACGCCCATCAGGCCCCTATTTTTCTCTCGGGGTTTCCAACTTAAGGAGGTAGCGCCTTGGGGCTCCGCCGCCTGAAATGGGGGACCAAGACCCAATGGATGCACAAAACGACACTCGGTCGTGGGCCTCTCCGAGCTCCCGTTCTTGGGCTGGACAAAAGGGGCAAACGAGAAACAAAATATCCCAGACTATGTCTGCAATGGCAAGCTTGTAGCGGAAAAAGCCAATACATCCACTTCTGTCGTCACTGCTGTAGTCAAAAAAACAAAATCGTACGAGCTGGATAGTATGGTTGCCAAGACCCGAAGAAGCGGAGAAAAGCCAATCAACGGACCATTACCATATTCAACAAAGACCGCGAAAAGTGTGGCTTGTGACTATTGATGGCTGCTGGCGACTTCTGAAGGCTATTGGTGGCTTGCTGGAGAGAAGGGGGGTGCAAAGAGGGAATGCGGGTAAGCAAGAGGTGAGAAGAAGAAAAGAGGTGAAAGAGATGAGGAGAAGAGGAGAAGAGGAGAAGAGGAGAAGAGGGGAAGCGGCAAGGATCCGGCAAGAAGGGGACCATGGGAGGCGAATGGGTAGCGAAAAGGAAAGTAAAGGGAGCCAAGTCCAGCGGAAGGAAAAGCAGCCGCACCGGCGTGAGGATCCGCGCCTGGGTCCGGTGGAGACCGGCGCCCGCGGCGCCCGCAATTAGCGAACACTGCCCGCAACATGGTGGCAGGTGCAGTGCAGTTGCAGTGCATTTGCATTGCGTCTTCCCTTTGTACCCCCTTTAGCGTGGTACATCCGACTGTCTAGTGCGGCATCGTGTCCTTGGGAAGTTTAGGCGATTCTCTAATGAGCTCCTTGGCGGCGCTGAAGTTGTGTGACGAGTTGGAGAGTCGAGTCACAACAGCGTATGTCGATTTACTTTCGTATCCAAGCACGTTTCCGGTTAATGCCCAGAGCTTTGCATGTGGAAATACAGCTCATACAACTGGCAGAACTGCCCAAAGTAGAGAAAGACGAGACATACAGACGGACTCTAAATGCAAATCATGAACCTTTATCCACAGCCACGAAGAACGAACCGCGAATCACTCTCACGACATTTAGCTTTCCCCCAGCCAGTTCCTTTTCGTCGCTCTTTGCACCCCCTTTTCCACAGTGGCGGCCATTCTTTGGAAGGCTCTTTGCACAGCACTCTGGTTGCCATTGTTTCGTCCTATCCGTCCTCTCGCTCTTCCTCGTGATAGTGGCTAGTGACTATTGCAACCACTAACTATCCCTTTGGTGTTAGCCCCAGCGACTTAGCGGCTTGCTGTGCACCCTCTTCTGCGCTTCCTCTCTGCTCCCTTGTCTATTTGTCTCTGTTTCTCTCTCGTACTTTCCAGTCCGCCTGATATTGGCATCGACAGACTATCATATTGAGTAGAAAAGGCGTGAAAAGGTCGAGAATGATGCCCTAGTGACAGGTACGGCTGGTAAAGCCCCCCTGTGTCCCAATAGCACTTCGAGTACTGTTCAACTCTTTGGCATCGCATTCGTAGCGGCTTGTGGCTGATTTTGGTGAATACCTCACGCAAAGTCCAGGCCGGTCCCAGGTCGTAGGACTGTGTGCAGTTGGCGAGTTGCCCAGTTGGGTGTTGTTAGTCGCTCAGACACACGTGATTGGACGAACCATTCTCCTGGGTGGGCTGAAAAGGCCTGTGCGAAGAAATCGGAAGGAGCACTGTGCGTCCCGAGCGAGCGCCTGCGTCCGTGCTTTTCACCCCCTCTCCCTGCACCTTCCCGCGTCCTCGCCAAGCAACTGCCGAGTCCCCTCTGCAGGGACCACCTGAAAATACAACACTCAACCGAATTGGCCGCAGTGATCTCAGAGACAATTTTCTGTCTGTTTTTGTTTCTTCCCATCCCGAAAACGTCAGAGACAGGACCAAACGACCCACAGAGCTCGAGTATGACGTGCATTGCCGATCAGCAGAAGTACAGTCGAACGGGGCGAATGGCCGAGAACAGAATGGGAGACGCGCATTTCGTTGCCGTTTTCGGCAGGAGTGGGCTCTCTGGAGACTCGTATTGCGGCTTGACGTTGTCTGCTTTGCGCATGGCGTCTCAGTCTGTCCACGTCGCTTGCTTTTTCTTTCAGCTGCGAAACATTTGTCTCAGCTGCAAAAAGAAAGGCAAAACGACGAAAACAAGTCCCTGCAGCTGCTGAAGAAGTTGGCGCAGTGACCGGTAAAGCCGACAAAGGAAGGAGGCGCGACACAATCGACGATTGACCTGCAATCGAGCGCCTGCCGAAAAGTGGGTTCTGTGGACGGACAGCTGCAAACAAAGGAAGCCGCAACAAACCAAAATGCGCTTCCCGAGATGATTGGAGTGAGTACGGGTGCTGTACGGGTGCTCGACGAGGAAGCCGCAAGTGATTGGTGGCTCTCTACCTAGCCAAAAAAAAGATGGAGGGGAGGGGCAGTGGGGCGGCACTAGTGTCGATCAGAAATTATTATGAAAAGAGTGGGTAGCGTACGTCTGGGCGAGTCTTTGTTGAATTCAGTGTACGATGTACTTTCGTACAGCCAGATGCCCCCAAATTGCTCCCACAATTTACCCCATGTCATCCACGTGATTCATCAGGTGATGTGCCGACCAATCAAATGTTCAGTGGAGCCACCTCCCTCCTTCCTTTTCGCACACGTTCCCAGCTACGCAAGAGCCAAGGTGGAGACGCTCACCACTTCTCCTCCTTCGCTCACCCTGCCACACCGAAGTGGTGCGATAATGCCCACTCTTTCCTTCTGGGGCCAAGCGTCTGTTTCTTTGTCGCTCCTTCCCTGCAGGTACCCGCACAATGAATTCCCTCGCAAGCGGCGATGCAAAACTAAAAGGCGAGTCGTAGATGTGTTATTTGTATGTGGTGCAACAAGCAGTGGTAATCAACGAGATGTCTGTTTTTGAGCGAATGCTGGGATTGCGAGATACGATGGGTTTGCCGGGCTTGTTTAGCATGTGCCTTCGTTCCCGTCGTCCTCTTTCTGCTCCTTCCCTCTTCATTCATTAACACGCCCCCAAAAAGGTGGGTCACCAACTACCACGCGCTACGGCCTTTGTACCACACCAGTCGCCGTAGGGCAAAAATACTTGAAGAGCGACACCAGAAAGACTTTGGGGCTCAACAAGAAGCATGCACCCCGCAAAGATCGACCGCAGCGCCTGCAATGACCGCCAAAGCACCTTCTGTCTGATCCCAAATAGTGCACGGCAGTAAAAGACAAGAGCCCCTCAGACTGTGGATCGCCGCTATTGTGCGGCATCTGTGCACGCTACGCGGGCGGTCTTGCGCACTGAAGCAGGCGCTGAAGACCTTTGAAGCCCTCTGAAGCACGCACGCCAATGGTGGGGGGCCCATCTCCCGCTTGCCTGCGCTCTCTGTACCCGCCACCACCCCGGTAAACAAAACCAACAGTTAGCTAGGGCCTTAACGCCGACGACAACGCATCAACATCTTCAAAGCTTCACGGCCAGATGAAACTAACAAAATGCAAAGTGTCATCACACAGCCGCCGGCTTCTTTCGTACGAGTCAGTCCCCAAGTCAGATGACAGAGCTACAGGCGATGAAAAGAGGGGAAGTTTGCGATGGAAACATGGCCAGCGAATTAATGGAACAGAACCCTCAGCAAACGGGCGTTCACCATGAGGCAAATAGTCAAAACCAAAGCTGAAGCCGACTCGGAAGGAGCTGGCGCTGGCAAGGCCATGCCATCATTGTCTCTGGTACTGTTCAGCGGCGAGGGTGGAGACAAGCGATGCATGATGCCATTTTCATGGCCAACGACGCCGAGCATTAGCAGTGATAATGCCCTCATTTTTCACATGCAACCAGAGCTCATGCATGCCGTCGTGTCGTCGTTTGTTTTCGCACTCTCTTTGTCCCCTAAACCCACCCTACTCTACGACTGGCTCGCGGAACTGAACCCTTTGTTTTATGGGGCCGCTCCTCCCACCGCAGGCGCCAAATTGGCTCCCATTGCTATCCACAGCGCTATTTTGCTCTCCACCGGCTTGGGTTTATCAAAAATCATCGTAGAGAGACGCGCTCAACTTGTGGTGATGTCTCGATTCCATCGTTGCCATTTTTACCTCCTCTCTTCAAAAATTTTCTGTTTGTAAACAAATGCTTACTCGAGTGCCATGACCGGTTCAAGGCACAGGCTCCTTGGACAGGGAGAGACGAAACGGCTGCCCTGGCGTAGAGGCGTTGAAAAAAAAATCGTGGAGGAACGGGGCGGGATGCTGAGAGATTTGCCCAACAGGATATCGGCATGAGAAGACGAAATTGTGCGGCTACGTCACCACAAAATTGTGTGTTCCTGTGACCTGACAGGCATCTTAGGGCTCGCCTTTCTGTTTGCATGTGATGGAAACTATAAGTTGTTGGATACGTAAATGCCGACTAGTGTCGGACAAAAATACTCATTCATGGATGCGAGTAGTAGAAGTATAACCCGTTTGGCACTGCGTAAGAACACTGCGGGAGGGGAATACTTTGGGCGCGGATGATGGCAAACTACTGGCCACTGTTGGCAGGAGGAAAAAAATCAAAAAAAATCAAAAAAAAATCGAAATAGCCACCTATAGAAGACAGAAATAGTCGCATATTGGTTAAGTGAAACATCAAGCTCCAAAAGTGGCAATATTCAGAGAGTCATGACGCAAAGAATGGCAAGAACGTAAGGTGAGCATATGCCCAAGCCTTTGGGGGGGAGGGGGTAGGCGTCTATGGGGTCTATGGGACAGCCCACTCCTTTTTTGTCTCATGAACAATACCCAAGACGATTTTGTGACTGAAAGTATTAATGGAATTATTGTTAAGGTGCAGCCTCTTGGGTCTGAAAGAGTTGGAAAGCTTTCAAGACACGCTGAGCGTCTGCGAAAAAAAGCGGCAAAAAAATAAAAAAAAACTAACAAAAGCGGATGAAGATGCGGAGGGCATGGGTCCCTTGCGCTCTTCTTTTTTCCTTCCCCGAGTATTTCCCACCAAGGCCGTAATTCTAGTCCCTATCCAGTAGCCCCATACTCCAGAAAGAATAGCACGTCCCACGATAAAACCGAAAAAGAATATAAGACGCAAACCAACATGAACTGCACACTCATGTCTCTGGTGCAGGGCAAACAACGAGAGTCCCCAACATATGAAAAGGATCGTCAGTCCTACCGAAAACAAAACAAAGAAACAAAAAAAAGAAGAAGTAATGCCGCATGCCTTATGGGAGGCCAATAGCAGCTTTGCACCTTTTTCCTGACGAGGGAAAGGAAGGGGAGGGAATAAAAACAATGTAAACCCAGAGAAACATAAAGCCAAAAAATGAAGGAAACCAAAACAGTAACCGGATCCAGGAAATGCCAAAGTAACTCCCATGTAAATGCCAAGTCAAAATCCAACATGAAAACACAATTAAGGTTGGATGAAGAAATCGAGGATGTTTTTACATGTTGAAGTCATCGGGAGACGGGCCCTGGTGGGGAGGCATTCCCTGGTTGGGAGGCATACCCTGGTTAGGGGGCATTCCCTGGTTGGGAGGCATTCCCTGGTTGGGGGGCATTCCCTGAGGAGGAGGCATACCCTGCTGCGGGATACCTTGCGGGGGCATACCCTGAGGAGGCATGGAAATACCCTGGGGGTGAATGCCCTGCGAATGCATCTCCTGGGGGTTCATGGGGAAACCGTGCTGCATGGGGACCATGCCAGGATGGTTCATCATGTTGAGGGGCATCTGCTGCATCCGAACCATCTGGCCGTTGTGCAGCATCTGCATCTGAGGCGGCATGGCCGACATGGACATGGCACGCGGCGGTTGGTTTGGGCCGGGGCCGTTAGTCGCGGCCAGGGTGCTGCCGACGCGGTGGGTCATGATCTCGCGCTGCATGTTGGCCATCTGGCGCTTGCAGCTCTCGGTCTCGGAACGGGCAGAGTTCAGCTCGGCCTCCAGATCGCGGATGCGCTGGTCCTTGCGCTCGCGGTAGGCGCGCTGCGAAGCCCGGTTCTGCGCACGGCGGCGGGACAGCACGGCAGGAGGCGCGTTCTTGTAGCGGTTCTCCCGCTTGCGCTTGGCAGGGGCCTTGGGAGCCGGTGCGGCAGGGGCGGCAGGGACGGCGGGGGCAGGGGCAGTCTCAAAAGGCGCACTCGGCATGGTCGCAAGAACGGCCGTGTCCATGGGGGGCGTAACATGGCCCATGTTGGGACCAGGCGAGAGCTCCTGCTTGATCAGCGGGCCGTCCACGTCGAGGCCGGCCATACCGGTGGCCATCTGGGACACGGCAGTAGCGGACGTAGCCACGGACGAGAAGGAGCCCGGGTTGCTGCGGATGTGTGCGGAGACGACGGGCATCTGCGACTCCGCAACACCAAGAAGGCCGACGCCCATCATGTCCACGGCGCCAGTGCTGGCAGGCGAGTGGTTGTTGGTCTGCGGGCTGGGCAAGCTCGCCTCCGCACCGACCTCCATGTCGTACGGCATGGCGTACTGAAACTGGGCGCTATTAGACACCTGCCACCTGCTTTTGTTTTGCTTTTGTCCAACGGCATACTCACAGGAGACGTGGAGCTGGAGAGGGGTTCGGCGAAGGCGCTCTGGTCGACATCGACAAAGGTCTCGCCGTCAAAGGCGCCGAAGGAGAAGCCGTTGGTGTCGTGCGGCGACATGCTGTCATCGTTGATATTGTCGTAAATATTGTCTGAGCCGTCCATTTCGAAAAGATTGTTTGACAGAGGCATATGTGGAAAGTGAGTGAATGGGAAGGTGAGACAGGTGGTGCTTGGGCGAGAGGAAACGGCCGCGGTAACAATGGTGATTAAGGATTAAAATCTGTTGTCGAAAGGAGACGAAGACTAGATACCTTTGGCGTGAAGGGGAAAGGAAGCAAGAAAAGACATCCAAGTTTCCAAAATTAAGTGTTTGAAAATAAAAGAAGAGAAGAAGGTATGGGATGTGACGGGGAAGGCAGGAGTGAAGGTGGGAGGGGAAGCGAAGATATCTTATACGTTGGCAAGATTGCTGGTTGTGCCTTCCGCTTCTGATAGAGCCCAGGCTAGAGCCCAGTAAGGTGGAGCGCTGTGATCGACCACAGAAGAGATGGGACTACGGGCAGAGAGGTAGGGTTCCCTGGTGTAGATCATGGTAGGGAAGGAGGGAAGGGGAGAACGACGAAAGAGGTGGTGGGGGGGGGGGGGGGGGGGGTGAATTTCGAAGATTGGGGAAGGAGGGAAGGGTGTGAAAGAGAGGGAAGTAGCGAACGACTGGTCTAGCAGGCGCGGTACATTGGGCCGGCCGACTAGGGGGAAGTACAAAGTGCACCGCCAGGAAAGAAAAGGCACATAGAGAGACACGAAGAGGTAGCGCCGAGCCACTTTGGGCCAATGCTCAAAGGAGGTGAACACTTACAAGAAAATCGACGCCAGTGAGAGGCCTGTAGCGATTGCCAAAAGGAGCTGAGAGGTCCGGTCAGAAACTGCAGAAGAACAGCCTCGGTAGGTAACAGCGTCCCTGTGGCTTCTGGTTGTTTTCAGTCTTATTTTTTATGGAGGCGTAGGACCGGGATTTGCGCAAGCGGTAGGAAGGTACTTTCTTAATTTTGTGTTCGGGTTCCTGCCTTTGCTCCTGACTGGAATGTACGCTGTTCTCGGTCGAGGTTTCCTCGTGGGTGAAATGTCTCGGTGACAGTGTCTTGGAGATGCTATTTTGGCGGGGCTGAGACAATGACGAAAGCATACAAGCATACATGCATACGAGCATGCGAGAAGAACGAACATGGCAGCATGGGAAGGAGCGAACATGGATGGAGCAGAACAAAACGGAAAGGACAGTAGATTGCAGGAGGAGCCATGGACCAGACAGTGTACAAGAAATGAATGTTTCAGCCAGGACAGATACAAAGTGGTATGAGGTGGTAGACAAGTCAACGATACGAGGACGGAGCATGTTGTGCGCATATTGTTTCCGAGTATTTGTTTCTTTCATTCCGTGCGTCTGACGTCGTCGTGATGGATGAACGCATGGCCCACAAGCTTGCGTGGGTGGTGTGAATTTTCTCTTACGATGTCTCCTCTGCCCATAATTAATGGGCAGAGGCCGGCCAGTGCTGTCCTCCTCTTCAGAGGGCGCTGAAGACAGCCAGAAAAGGAAGGGCCTGGGCCCAAGGAATGGAGCGACCGGGACATAGGGAATGGGTGGAGTGGGTCTGCTTCCAAAGCCGATAGAGAGAGAGGAGATCAGCAGTGCACAGAGCAGCAGTGCACCTTAGCGCTGTAGAGAGGGCTCGAGAGGCCGAGACGGAAAGAGGGGCGGGGTGTGTACGAAGACGGGTGGGGGTGTCTGTTTTATGCCCCATCACATTCTTCTTAGGCGGGTTTTGGCAGCTTTTAGTGCTGTGCAGCTGGTTTGGGTCTGTCCAGCAGCAGTGTTTTCAGCACCACAGGCGAAACTGCCACTGCACGCTAACCGAAATGCCCGCTAATTGGCCGCTAACCCGCTGTCGCGCATAAAGACGCCCAAAACAGATTGGTATGGAAAGACTTTCTGGTGTCGAGGTCCAAGTACCTGGCCACAGGGGATACCCTTTTCGCTACGGTCAGTACGGGAGCACGGCTGTAGCAGTACGCCAGTGGCAGTTTACCAGCATTGGCGTGCTCTGTGGCGTGCTCTGCGGCGTGCTGGAGACGTTGTGGCAGGCGAGGTTGTTCTGTCCTTGTCTTGGGAAGAAGTCCTGGGAAGTCTTGGGACGCTCCTGGGCGTCGATTTAGACTGGCGAGTATTATCTTGATCAGGACAGCCTTTGATTGGAGACTATCGAGTGGGGCGCTTCGGAATGTGTCCCGTTGCAGTGTGCTGCCATTGAACGTTGGAGAGGAGAGGACGAAGGGCCGGGGAGAAGGAGATGAGAAACGTGATAGCATTGGACGAATCACACACATGGGCCAGAGTAGAAAAGACCAGTGGCCGAGCAGAGTCTTTCAAAAAGGTTCAGAAAAGGCCCAGGCAGCTCCGGTTCAGAGTTCATGATGACATGATCGGGTCGGTGACTGCTGCTGGGTCGATTTCGACGCTGTGCATGGCCTGATTGGTTTGATTCTTCGTCGTCATTCTTGTACAGTCTCTCGCTTCCTTTGTCGTTTTCTGTGAAGCATCTCAGCAAGCTACTTGTGCGTATATCCTTCTTTGTCTTGTTCAATATAAAGTAGCATCGACTACATTTCTATTTTCTGAAGCTACCTCGACCTCTGTGTACATGATTTTCTGACACATTCCGAACTGAAATAAATCCCTGTCCCGTACGGAGGACGTCGTATATGGGTGCGACTTGACACGAGTAGGACACAAACCAGCACTGCTTGCTGTTGAGTTATGGAGAGGGGTCGACAACTCTGGAACGTATTCCTTAGAAAAGCAGAAGAATGCAAATTAATAAAACATGCAAGGTGGGCTGGTGGGAAAGGGGAATTGCAGCATGGCAAGCAAGGAGGCACGCAGGAGAGAGGGCGGGGAGTTTTGTATCTCAATTCTGGTATTAATTCGTGGCTTTCTTTTCATATCTTTCTATTTTCTACGGGGCATTGGGCATTATTGCTTGCTTCAACGGCCCTGTGAGCCGGTTTCTACTCCTTCTTTACTGCCTTGCGTCTTTGCAGAAGATCATGCAAGTCTGCAGCGCAGGCAGCGTGCAGCTGCGACGAGTGGGCGATAAGACGGACGCACCACAACTGCGAAGTGCGTATGTATGCACAGCCAAGGCGCGGGCGCAATATGCATTGCGTGTTCGAACGGAACACGCAGCAGGTCAAGCACGAAATTCTTCGGCATGCAAAAAGACAAAGGCATTCTAAGACGACGGGAGGAGCACGCAGAATCAAATGAGAATGGACAAAGACAAGACGGGAGAGCAAACATCTACATTCAGACGAGAAACACTGAAGCAAAAAGTACATCGCTGCTCCACGTCCATGGTTTCTAGGTTGTAACTGTTTCGGTCCAGCCTTTTCCATCACTTAATTCTCTAGTTTATTTTTCGCCTCCCTGCAAACTAGGCCTGTTTCCGTTTACGGCCTAACTACGCCGTTACCTTTAACCTTTTTCCGCCTCTGGTCGTCCAAACTTTCCGTACCCCGTCGGCCGTTTTTGTGCGGTTGATTGCAGGCAATGTCTCACTTGCAAACGATCTCGCTAGACCCAAAAGAGACGTGTATGGGCGTGGAGACATGGGAGATAAAGCAGTCAGGAAACAAACAGGAGAGACAATCACCAGGAACAAAGACAATGGAATGGAACATGTCTCACTTCCCACATTCCTAGTGGAAGGATTCGAGGAGCTTTGAAAGAGGCCAGCCCAGGCTTTCTGATCGATATTGTAAGAGCAGCAAAAGAATGCTACAAAAAAGCAAATATGCACCTAGGAAAGACGTATGCGGATAAGCAGGAGAGATGGACCACGGTTTACACTGGTGATACATTACGGAAGAGGCAGCAAAAAGCACCTATTCTATCTCTAGTCACGCTGATATTCGCCCCGTGGAGACAATGAGCAGAGATACAAGAGCCAAGCTGAATTAGAGACTAAAAAATGCTTTGCAAAGAGACGAGGTGAGATGCGAGAAGAGACATAGCTTCACAGGGAGATCGAGCTTCAGCGCAAGACCTTGTCCAGCAAAAAGCGCAACCGACCGCCAATGTCGATGCTGCAGATCGACGCAGAGCCAATGTCTCTGACGAAAGCAATTCTAGCAGCGGAGCATGGACATGACGTCAAGACAAAAGTGAAGAAAAGAGGAGGGTAGGTGAAGAGACAAGTGAAGCAAACTTCAAAAGTCGCTTTTTGACGGTCGCGCCTTTTATTGATCCATGATGCCTTTCGACGTGATTCTGCAAATTAGCTCGATAGAGCTCGAGATTGCAAGTCGAGGAAGCTCGAGAAAGCTCAAGCTACTGTACAAGGTTAGAGGAAACAACTGTAGCGCCAACATGCAAAGCCATCTTTAGGGCGCATTGCTAGCCACAGCTCCATCCTGGTGCCCGCGTTTCCGATAGGCCGTGAAAAGCCAAAAATGGGCAGAACAAGGAACAGAGATAAAGACAGAGTGGAGGTGGCTTTATCAAAGAGTGAAAGAGACACAGAGAGGGAGACAAAGATGGCAGTGTGAGCGGGACACAAACGATATCGACTATCAAAAAAAGAAAGAAAAAACGACGCAATTACGACAATGGAAGTTTTATTGTGAAGATTTGGGGGTTGCCAGACGGATGCAAAGGAAGGAGCGAAAGTAGGCAAACAACTCCGTTGTCTCGACAGACGCCGGATGGCAAGAGAGACACCAGGTACAACTTCAAAGAAGGCAAGAGTCAAAAAACAGACACGGCAGGAGCGCTCGGCGAGGTAGCTGGCAGAAAGTGCGATCTCAGTATGACGAAATGCAGAGGCTCATTGCATCGCGGATAGACAGAGCGACAGAAGGAGCGACGGAGAGCGATGAGCATGTCCAGCGTCCAGCGTCCAGCGTCCAGAATGCCCAAACACGCACCATATCTGGCAACTGCTCACAACGTTAGTGGACAGGACTCGGCTCTGTCCACTAATGTCCTCGCTGTGTGGGTTCTGCTACGGCCCCGCGTCCTCTCGGCTTTGCCCCCCCCCCCCCCCCCCCCCACCAGCTGCAAGGCTCTCTTCAAGGTTTAGTCCAAGGCTGTTTGTTCTCTAGCACACTCCTAGCACCATTTGGTTCACATC